CACACTGCTGAAATTCAAGTGGAGAGTTCTTTCTGGTGTGAGCCTATTCTCAGCCACTAGCAAATAAAGGACTCTTTATCAATCTTGTATTCTTGGTGGTCTGTAATCTACTCAAGTGGTATTTCTTTCTTTATTATTTTTATTAATAATAAGTGATTTGGGGGGGGGGTTTCGAGACAGGGTTTCTCTGTGGCTTTGGAGGCTGTCCTTGTAGACTAGGCTGGTCTTGAACTCGCAGAGATCCACCTGCCTCTGCCTCCCGAGTGCTGGGATTAAAGGCATGCGCCACGAAACACCCGGCAATGAATGATCTTTTATTATTTTTATGTGTATAAGTGTTTTGCTTGCATGTAGATATGTGTACTGTATGCATGCAGAACTCAAGCAGCCCAGAAGGTGTCATAGCTATTGGAACTGGATTTACAGATGACTGTGAGGCACTATGTGTGTGGGTGCTGAGAACAGAACCTGTGTCCTTTGCAAGAGCAACAAGCATGCTTAACCACTGAACCATTCTCCTCAGCCCCTTCAAGTGGTATTTCATACTTATACTATAGAGCATTAACTATTTCTTTCATTTTCTTTTTTTTTGGATTCTGAGGCAGGATCTCAATCTGTTTGCAGGTGATAAAAAGGGAACATGAAGTTGAAAGTGACTAAGGCCTAATTGTATGGGGCCATACGAGGGAACCAACAGGCAACATTGGAACTCATGGAGCACTGCTGGGTAGAAAGCAAAGCCACATCCAAGTGAGACCTGGAGAGGCAGAACCCCAGGGTTTACATGTCCTGAGGACCTCATGCTGTTATTGGGCATAACTCTGCTTATTGCCTTCATGGTCATAATTAAATAAATAAATAAGTAGACACAGAAGGGAAATATCAAGGTAGAAGAACAGAACAGAGAAAGAATAGGGTAGAACAAGCAACAGAAAGAATAATCACTACATCCCTCATAATCTATGGGCTGTGTGAAAACTCTCAGGGGGTTTCTAGCCCTCACTGGGCAGTGTCACTGGTACTTAGAATAATAGTGATTGACTTTTTCCAAGCATTGCTGCTGGAGCAGATTAATAATTCAACCACCATCCTTAGAATTTAGACATATAGATTGTTAGTAAAGTTAGGTTAAGATTTTTTTTTTTTTTTTTTTTTTTTGGTTTTTCGAGACAGGGTTTCTCTGTGTAGCTTTGGAACCTATCCTGGCACTCACTCTGGAAACTAGGCTGGCCTCAAACTCACAGAGATCCGCCTGCCTCTGCCTCCCAAGTGCTGGGATGTGTGTGCCAACGCCAGGCAGGTTAAGATGTTTTTGTTAATGACTTTAAAGTAGAAAACCTTGGGGAGCAATTTAAAGTTTAGAAAGGCACACTTAAAGTAGTTGAGCGAGGGCTGGAGAGATGGCTCAGCTGTTAAGAGCACTGACTGCTCTTTCAGAGGTCTTGAGTTCAATTCCCGGAGCCCACATGGTGGCTCACAACCACCCTGAATGAGATCTGGTGCCCTCTGCTGGCACGCAGGCAGAAGACTGTATACATAATAAATAAATAAATCTTAAAAAAAAAAAAAATAGGAGTTGAGCGAGGGACTCCTTGAGGTCAGAGAACAAAACAATGACACTCGTTGAGGTCAGAGAACAAAACAATGACAGACTGGCTATGGCTGGCTGATCTACCTTTCTTGCTAGGATAGGCTGGTGATCAAAGATGATTAATTCCTTGTAACCATGTCTGCTCTCAACTTCCTGATATGATTTAATAAAAAAACTGTTAATAAGTGGGTATGTACCCTGAGGACTTAAAGTACAAATGACTGCTTTTTGATTCTTTTAAGATTTTTTTATAAGATTACCTTTTGAGAATGAATAAAAAAAAAAAAGATTACCCTTTGAGATAACTTTTGAGATAATAAAATGATTGATCCTTTCTTTTCTTTTCTTTCTTTTTTTTTCCCCCAAGACAGGGTTTCTCTGTGTAACAGTCCTGGCTGTCCTGGCACTCGCTCTGGAGACCAGGCTGGACTCAAACTCACAGAGATCCACCTGCCTCTGCCTCCCAAGTGCCAGGACTAAAGGTGTGCATAACTACTGGCCAGCTTTATTCCTTTTTTGGTAACAGCAAAATGAAGCCTGCCAGTAAAAGAGCTGGCTGAGAAAAGTACCTTACTTGTTTACACTGTGTTAATCTATAAAATGATTGGACATGAGTGTATGTGGGTTCTTGGGGATAATTTGGTTTTCACCTGTAATAGGTAAAATGTCTAATCATTAAGTAAAATGGGAAATACATTTTTTTACTTGTATTCATCGTAATCATTCACCTAAAAATAGAATGCAACCATACTGTAATTTTTATATTGCTTGAAAGATTTTGTTGGGGTATATAAGCTGTAAGGGAAAAACATAAAGAGACACAGAAGGGAAACAGGGTAGAAGAACAGAACAGAAAAAAAATACAGTAGAACAAACAATAGAAAGAATAATAAAATGAAGAACTAAGCTTTGGCCCTCAGAAAAGTCCTCATGTGTCTGTCTGTCCAGCAGTTCGCCTGCTCTGCGTCTCCTCTTCAGTTTTTCTGACCTGCTGAAGGCTTGCCATTCATCAGCACCCTAGGTGAGATCCTGGCATGTTGGAGGGGTGGGTGTGTTTTCCTCTTTTCACTGGCCCCAGAGAATTAAATTTCACCCCACTCGCTGGCACCACAGAATTAAATTTTATTTCCTCAGATAGAGGTCAATTGAGTGATTAGTCTCACGGACTCCATGGCTCCCCTTCAATTCCCGAGCTACTGAAGGCTGCTCTTTCCAGCAGCACTTAATCTGAAATTTCTCATTCAGGAAGCAGATACAGGAGGTTCCTGAGAAGTCCAGGCCAGATTAGATTAAAAATTGAATTCTAGGCCAGCATCTTAGTTAGGGTTTCTATTGCTGTGATTAAACACCATGACCAAAAGCAAATTGGGGAGAAAAGGGTTCATTTGGCTTATTCCTCTGCATCTATAGTCCATCCCTGGCTTTCTTGGCCTGCTTTTGTGTTTCTTCCTTTCTTTCTTTCTCTCTCTTTTTTTCTTCTGTGTAACAGTCCTGGCCGTCCTAGAATTTGTTTGAGACCATTGCCTGCTTTCTTATAGAACCCAGGACCATGACCTTCCCAGGTATGGCCCCATCCACAATGGGCTGGGTCCTCCCCCATCAATCACTAATTAAGAAAATGTGCTCCAGGGTGGCATACAAGCTGATGTTCTGGAGGCATTTTCTCAGTTGGGGCTCCCTCCTTTCAGATGACTCTAGCTAGAACAGCCAACCAAACTACAGTAAAACCCTATCCTAAAAAAAGTTTGAGCCAGACTTGGTGGTGCATTTCTTTAAACCCAGAACTCAGGGGTTAGAGGCAGGCAAATCTCTGACTCTGAGACCAGCCTGATCTACAGAATGAGTTCCAGGACAGGCAGGACTACAGAGACCCTGTCTAAAAAAAAAAAACATAATTTAATCATGAGCCAGAGAAATGGCTTGCTGCTGCCAAGTCTGACGACCTGGGTTCAATTCCCAGAACCTACATGGTTGAATTAGAGAACCAACTTCTGCTACTTGTCCTCTGATATCCACATGTAGAGGACATGGTACACACCCGTCCCACACTAAAATAAATAAGTAAATGTAATTTTTTACAAAAAAACTTTAAAAAAAAGAAGAAAATAAACTAGCTCAAGGTCCCACAATGTGCCAACAGTAACCTCAAAGGCTGTGTCACTTAATGGACCATGCTCTTCCACCACCTCTGTGCTGAAGCCCTGACTGTGAGGTCTCTCAAGATGGGCATCTTACCTTTTCCAGTCACGTAATAGGCCCCCAGCTTATAGCAGCTGTCACTGTGCCCGTTGTCCTCACAGTTGAACTTCAGCACCTTGGCAGCTTCATCAAAATTCTTCTGGATTCCCTCCAGATAGTCCACCAGCCTATAGCAACCTAGGAGAGGGAAGAGATGCTCATGCCAGCAGCTGCTGTTCAGCTGTTCAAGGGGACCAGGCACAATCAGAAGGAGTCTATCCCTTACTCCTCAAGTGTGGCATTGTCCAGCCCCTCCTACAAGGGACCATGTCTCCCCATGGCCAGCAAAGTATGGGTCAGGAAGACTGACCCCAGTAATGGCTCTACCACAGCCAGCCCTTCTGATCCCTATCAGCCCAGCCCAAACACTAGCTGACTTCCATGACATTCTGCTAGCTTTGGAACCTCTCTGCAAATTCTATAATGAAAATACCAAAACCCAAAAGGGTTTGTGGGGTCCTCTTGCAGCAGCAAACCAGAAATGAGGTGGCCCTTCCTCCCTGGCCCAGCTGGAAACCTGAAGCCCAGAAAATAGAAATAGAAACTACCATAGCAGTGGCGAATGGGTTTCCCTCTCTGGGGGTCCCAGTGGTAGCCAGCCTCTTAGCATTCTCAGCTATATCAAAAACCATTTTTCCTTCACTTTCAGTCAACAAATAGTTAAACAAATATGCACTGTCTTATGTATGAAAGCATATACCAGATACGCAACTGCTGGGAATACTGTCCTTTGCCTCCGAAAATTTATACTGTAAGTCAGGCATGCAAATTCATGTCTATAATCCCAGCACTCACGAGGTGGAGCCAAGATAAGGAGTTCAAGATCCTCCACAGCCCAGTCAAAGAGCACAGCTCAGGCTGTGTAAGGACAAAATACAATGAGGAAACTCGGTATTCTCAAACAGTAAGTGTTATAACTAAAATAAGCCAGGATGATAAGAACGGTGAATAGCTCGGGCCACTAAGGACTAGGATACCCGAGCTGAGACAATGAGATCTGGAGGCACTGCTCCATGGCAAAGCAGAGCCCAAGGCCCTGGGTAGTTCCATCCCTAGACATCAAGAAAGACAAGGAAATGGAAAGGGACCAGAGAGTCCTGGAAAAAGAGCCTGTAAATACAAGCAGGTGGAAGAAGAAATAAACCTTTCACAGATAAGGTAGGACATGGCTGAATTAAAGAGGTTATGGGGCAGGAAGGGAAGAACCTATAAAACATCAGGTGCTGGGGACTGAAGTGCTCTCCACACTGGGCACACTACAAACTACAAACCACAGAAGAGCTCTCAAGAAGGAAGTGGGGGGTGCTGGAGAGATGGCTCAAGGGTTAAGAGCACTGACTATTCTTCCAGAGGTCCTGAGTTCAATTCCCGGCAACCACATGGTGGCTCACAGCCACCTTTAATGAGATCTGGTGCCCTCTGCTGGCATGCAGGCAGATATGCCTGTATACATCATAAATAAATAAAAATCTTAAAAAAAACGAAGGAAGTGGGGCTGGAGCTGTGTGTAGCTCAGTGGCACAGTACTCGCCTAGAGTGTGGGAGGTCCTCTGTTCAATTCTTATCCCCACAATAAAAACAATACAAGTAAGGTACCAACTGAGAAACCTCCTACAAAGAAGGCAAGTGATAAAATTTCCTTTGTAAAAATATTACACAGGTGCATACGTTTGCACCTGCCTGGATGACTACAGAGGGAGCTAACTGGTGAGAGGACATTCCGACACTGAAAATAATAATAATATACATATAATAGGAATAGTAATACTTATATATAGCCTAGGCTGGACCAGAACTCACTATGTAGCTGAAGCTATCCCTGACCCTCCTACCTCCACCTCCTAGAGTGCTAGGATTAGAGGCCAGGCATGTGCTGCCATACCCAGTCTAAGCCAGGAATTGAACTCAGGCCCTTATGTACACAAGGTGAATACTACCAACTGACCTATATCCCTAGCCCTCAGCAGTTTTCACATGGCTCCCCACTCCCTGTCAGTATATTCTCCACATAACACACATCAAATACCAACTCCTCAACATGTCTACAGAATCAGGTCTAAATTCCTTACTTAAAAGGGCAGACATACTGCAGAGACGGGGCTCCCTGTATAAACTTAATTCTGAAACTAGAGTGCAGTGGGGGAAAACTTGCACTCAACAAGAAAACTCAGAAGCCCTGGGTTTGAGCTCAAGACTGCAAAACAAAAATTATTTGATAATTCCGACAGATCCTGACTTTGACTTTCCAAAGGAGAACTTTGTCTTCCCATCTCTCCTCCACTGACTACAAAACTCATCCCTGTAGACCAGGCTCAGCCATCCTGCTTCTCGGGAGGGGAGGAGGGTCAAGTCCTCTGAGATTTCTCTTCAATTGGGATAAGGACTAGCTACCAAAGAATAATTCTGGCTTCTTCATCCACACAGTCACTCTGTAGTGAACTAGTCTCAAGAAATAGCAAGTCATTTCCTGGAAACTAGACTGCCTATTGGAAGGGAGGGCCAGCGCCATTTTCTTTCTCTTCCCTTAAATAAATAAAACACTAGGAAGCAACTCAAAGGCACTGGCTGATTCTCTGTGCACCAATCACCCACACACACAACCTCACTGCACACAAGGGGCCGTTTCTGCCTCAGCCCTCTTTGTTAGCTGTTACCTCTGCCTAGCAAAGACCTACAATAGTTTGTCTGCTACTTTAAAACTTTATTCAAAAGCCATTCCACTGTACACTACCCTTCACTCAGATCTTTTATCCTATTTCACTTTTTTTTTTTTTAAGATTTAATTTTGGGCCAGGCAGTGGTGGCCCAGCACTGGGTGGGCAGAGGCAAGCAGATATCTGAGATCTACTGAGGGAGTTCCAGGACCGCCAGGGCTACACAGGGAAACCACGTCTGGAAAAACAGAAAAAGTTTTTTCAATTAAGAACAGGTCTAGTGGCTCACTCTGGAAAACACAGAAGGCAAAAGAAAGTGGTTCTTTAAGTCCACGGCCAGCGTGGACTGCACTGCTGTCAAGGCTACATGAGACTTGGTTTCAAAAAAAAAATAATTTTATTATTTTAAATTATGTATGTGTGTATATGTGCAAGTGGTGTGGAGCCCGAGGAGGCCAGAGGCATCGATCTACTGGAACTGTAGTTACAGACGCTTGTAAACGTCCCCACGAGGGCAAAAGCACTATGTGCTCTTTAAGCAGTATGTCCTCTTAACCTCTTGCCATCATTACAGTTTCCCTCTCCACTCCTTTTTTGTACCCACGCTGGTCCTTAACCCCTGAGCTCTAAGTAATCCTCCTGCCTCAGCCTCCCCAATGCTAGAATTACAGGCGACACCAAACCTGACTCGCATTTACTACTATCACATATTTCACTTATTTCCTTTGCACCTTAACGGATTCCCTTAAAGACACATAAGAGGAGGGTCCTTACACCCTAAGACGGACGACTCTGGGTCTAGCCTGAGGGCTCCGCCCCTGCACAGAAGCCCCGCCCCGGCAACCCCAAGTCCCCGCCCACAGCGCGCTAGTGTCCCGGGCCGCGTCCTCGGGCGTCCTCGGCCCGCCATGTGACCGCGTCCTAGCAAAACGCTCGCGCCCCTCCTCTGCGTCTCCGGCAGCGCGGGCGGCACTCACCGTCCGGGTCCTTCTCGCGGTAGCACTGGTAGTGGCACTCCACCTTCATGTTCTCCAGGAAAGACTTCACCTGCTCCTCATCCTGGAAGTCAACCAAGCCCGCCATGGCTCTTACTCCCAGAAGCCGAGCGCTGGCCCCGCCCCTCGATCACGTGAGCCGGTCCAGGGGCGGGACTTGGGCGGCGAGCTTGATGCTGCGCTCCGCGGGACTGGGAATGACCGCCGCTTCCCAGCAGCCTTTGCAGTGGTGCTCCTCCTCCTCCCCGGGCCCGCGCTGCTTTTTTTAGTCTTTGTGGACGGCTCCTGCAAGGATTCTACCTCACTCAGCCTATCTAATGTAATTCTGCCCCTTAACGGTTTTCTCCCTGCAGTTCAGTTCTAAAGCCTAGACAGCTGGGAGCTGCGCTCCCTGCTTTCAGAGCGTTGATCTGGAGCTCACCGACAAGAGCTCCTAGTGCTGCAAAATAAAGAACTTGAAATTAATCGGGAAAGCATTTGTTTGTTCGGGTAGCAAACATTTTGAGTATCTTGTGTGTCCCACATATGGCTGGAACAACTGACAAAAAAATTAGGCTCTGTTAGTGCCATGGAATGCATTTATCTCTATATTCTTTCTAGACCCCTCAAGGTCACCAACATTAATGATAAGAATGTGACCGCCAAGCCGGGCGGTGGTGGCGCACGCCTTTAATCCCAGCGCTAGGGAGACAGAGGCAAGTGGATCTCTGTAAATTTGAGGCCAGCTTGGTCTACAGAGCGAGTTCCAGGACAATCTCCAAAGCTACAGAGAAACCCTGTCTTGAAAAAAAAATGTATTTATTCTTTGATAACATCATACATATATACAATGTATCTTGATCATTTCCACCCACTGTTCCCCTCAATCCCCCCACACCCTCCCAACATGCCTCTAACACTATTATTTTTTTAAAAAACCAAAAATTGGGTCAAGCAGTGGTGGCGCAAGCCTTTAATCCCAGCACTCTGGAGGCAGAGGCAGTCGGATCTCTGTGATTTCAAGGCCAGCCTGGTCTTCAAAGAGAGTTCAGGACAGCCTCCAAAGCCACAGAGAAACCCTGTCTCGAAAAACAAAACAACAACAAAATGTGGCCGCGAGTGATGATTAGAACACAGCAGTGGTAGGGATGATAGCTAATGCCAAATGAGGAGTATCAAATTTGTGTCTAAGAGCTTTACACTAGTTAAATCATTTACTGTGAAAATATACCTGTAACTTCCCCATCTGCAGACTAGAAACGGGTTCAGAGAGGTTAAATAACTTGTCCAGAGCCATACAGTGAAATGGTTGGTGCACAACACTCTTTTTAAGAGAAAGTATGAAGATATAGCTCGGCGGTAGAGTGTTTACCTAACAGAAGTCCTGGGTTCAATCCCCAAAACCATACAAACAGAGAGAGGTGTGTCAAGATGGGAGTCGGGGAGTTTAACCTGTCTTTTTAAGTCTTATTTAGAATTATTACTTTCACAAACCTGAAACAAACTATCCAAAAGCAGTTCCTTTTTGTTTGTTTTTTGTTTGTTTGTTTGTTTGTTTTTCTAGGCAGGGTTTCTTTGTGTAGCTCTGGCTGTCCCAGAATTTGCTCTATAGACCAGGCTGGCCTCAAACTCACAGAGAGCCACCTACCCCTGCCTCTCTAGTGCTGGGGCTTGCTGGGATTAAAGGTGTGCACCACCACAGCCTGGGAAATTAAACCAAACCCAGCGCCTCAAGCATGCTGGGTAAATGTGTTATACCTAAACCACACACAGCCCAGAGTGCCAGTTCATCACTGAATGCCGGCTAACCCTAGTCTAGAGCCTTTTGTGGAACACAATCCATGTTTTCCCCTCTATCATATATAGCATGGCTTCACCACTAACTCCTTTTAATGGCAAATGAGGACCAACTTACTTCAGCTAGTACATATCTTTGGAAATCCCTGATTATTGATTTAGGATTTTTTGTTTTGTTTTTAGAGACAGAGTTTCTCTATGTGGCTTTGTAGACCAGGCTGGTCTCGAACTCACAGAGATCTGCCTGCCTCTGCCTCTGCCTCCCAAGTTCTGGGATTAAAGGCATTCACCATCAATGCCCAGCTGCAAGATTCCACTTTTACATATGTGTAGGGAGTCACCCTAGCCCCGCCCAATAGTCCTGGGGCAGGTACCAGGTGGACCCGGGGACTCGCCCAGAGGGGCGTGGTGAAGGAAAGCCGGGGTGATGTAAGGGAGCTTCTTAAGGGGCTGCACGTGGGGACGCGGGCCCCTTTTTTGTTCTGGCCGCGCTGGCTGGGTTCTATAACCTAGCTCTGGCCTGTGTTTTACCTTGGTGTCTTCTGGAATAAAGAGACCTTAATCTTACACCTGGCGCTCTAGAAAAGTTAGTACAGGAACAGCTAGAGGCTGGTCACATAGAGCAATCTACCAGCCCTTGGAATTCTCCTGTATTTGTCATCAAGAAGAAGTCAGGTAACTGGAGAATGCTGACAGACCTGAGAGCCATAAATAAGGTAATTCAGCCTATGGGCGCTCTGCAGCCTGAAATGCCATTGCCTTCCTTAATACCTAAAGGATGGCCGATCATAGTAATTGACCTTAAAGACTGCTTTTTCACTATACCATTACAAGAAAGTGATAGAGAAAAGTTTGCATTTACGGTGCCAACTCTTAATAACTCACAACCAGTTCGGAGATACCAATGGAAGGTTTTACCTCAGGGGATGCTAAATAGCCCTACCTTGTGTCAACAATTTGTACAACAACCTTTGGAAATAATTCGTAAACAATTTCCACAATCTCTTGTTTATCATTATATGGATGATATTCTTTTAGCAGATTCTAGTGAGGAAACTTTAGAACGTATGTTTA